CCCCCCCCTCTTGCCTTGTTTAAAGCAAGTGAGATTTTACTGCTCACTTTGTAGGCTAGTTCTACTGATAAAACATAAAACATAGATACCGACTATTTAAATCAGCATTCTGTGCTAGGCCTAGGGTGATTTAATGCAAACGGGACCGCAACTGTACAGGAGTGTCGAGAGCTTTTTATATTGAACATTACTTCTCGCCATCCTTGACATTTCGTAAGTTCTGAACACGGCATAGAGAGAATGAATTAGGAGCCCTCAAGTCCTTTGGCGTCATGAGTAGAGAAGTTCCGTCAGTTTGGATCTATAGCGAATCAGAAGTAAAAATTTCCTTTAAAATGACAAATCCTGGTTGAACACACACCATGCACAGCCCTTTAAACGTCACCAGGGTGCAAATTTCAGTACATGTAGTCAGTAGCAGTGGGTGGACCAAGATTTGGGTGGGGCTTAGGTTTCTTCCACTTCTTTACCACCACAAAGCAAGCAATAAGAACAAAACAATGATGATTTTTCTATACTCAAGGCGAGCCAGATGTTTTACTGCGCTTTTGGTACAGGAATGACAGCGACGACCTTGTTTTGAAATAGCATTTGGCTAGTGTTTGTTTCTGACTTCTTTTATTTTGTGTTTGTTGATGATTTTCGGCTGCACTGTACGACCGTGCTCTCTGGACGAACTGCACCTGATGCTATCTATTGGGCACCCCACACCCTATTGTCTCTTCATACTGAATATGTACAGTGTATGTGGCTTTAAACACAGATGGTTAAGCAGGTCCTTGTGCTTGGGCGCCACTGAACATTTCGAACAACGCGTTAAAAATTTGTCGAGTCTAAAGAAGGGCATGAAGAGCACTGCTTCTAGGAATTTCAAAATGAAATCCATAGTTTTTTAGAACTCTGTAAAAGAAATTAAATATTGTTTAAATGTTGCAGGGATGGAAAATTAAATGTCGAAGAGAAAATAAAGAAAACGGTCTACCAAACTTTTCACGACTTCCTACTTCCTTTACAAAATGTTGAAAAATTGGTATACTGCGTTTTTAGGCTTTTTTCTTTAAGCCATTTCCGTTTTTTAAACAAGTTTCTACTTCGTGGATTTTTATATCAAACAAATTCCTTTTGAATGAATTATGTCTGTTCCAAATTACAGCTTTCTAGAACAATTTTTTGTGCGAGATATTTAGAAAAAAAAAGTTGTACAGGTTTTGTTTTGGATCATCCAGGTTTAAAATCGCTTTCCAATTTCTGTCATTTCTGTTATATGTTTTCGTGAACAAGACTAATGATTAAATGTGCCTTGAATGATAATTATTATTAAACTGATCTTTTTGTAATCATTGTGTCTCTTCCTCATTTTTATAGTTCAATGAGGTAACGTTTAATAATTGTTCTATATGCAAATTTTTACCCTCTCTGAGATACACGAGAGAGAGAGAGAGAGAGAGAGAGAGAGAGAGAGAGAGAGAGAGAGAGAGAGAGAAAGGGGAGAGGAACGGGAGAGAAGAGAAAGAGAGAAACGAACTCTCCTCTCCTCTTTATCTATCCATCTATCTATCTATCTATCTATCTATCTATCTATCTATCTATCTATCTATCTATCTATCTATCTATCTATCTATCTATCTATCTATCTATCTATCTATCTATCTATCTAACTATATATCTGTCTATTTATCTATCTATCTATCTATCTATCTATCTATCTATCTATCTATCTATCTATCTATCTATCTATCTATCTATCTATTCATCTATTCATCTACCTATCCATCTACGTTAAAACCTATGACGTAATGTTGTTGTGCGTTCCTCCGCTCTCAGGTGACGTTATACTTCAGTGACATAGTCGGTTTTACAAATATATCGGCCTCAAGCTCCCCGCTTCAGGTCAGTGCAAGATTGACATTTCTTAACACTCGTAAGTTTCTTATTGCTGTGCCAGGGAACAGCGACTGCTGACGTCATTTTTTTCGGCGAACTGCGACCGGGGAACAGCGACATGTATTATTTCTTTGTTACAGTTTATCTTGGTGTAATCGCCTCCAGTATCGAATACAGCTAGACCAGAAATGTTACTCGTCTCGATTTTCATTTTTTGAATTAAACAGACTTAATTGGACACATTTTTAATGGATTTTGAAATAGAACGTGTCCAATCACGCTGTTGCTATGAGACTGGACTCTAGATCTAATTATTTTTAAATGCAAAATCTTTTCTTATTTCTTGATTAAACAGCAAAATGTACCTCTTATTAATGTGTTACTAATTGTAGTCTCTGGACTTAATTGTCAGGCATTCGTAGGATCTCTAGGCCCCTACACCTCAATTAGTGTGGGCCTAGCAGCTGTGACGTTAGATGCACAATGCAGTGGGTGACTTGATACATGACTTCAAATTCAAAAGTTATAATTTAAAGACAGAGCTTGCTAAAAGTTTAAGTATATACCACCAAATCAGGTTCCGCGCGACCCACATTGCTCCTTTTTTACATTGATTCCGAAAATGAAAAATGTTTTTAACTGTGATAATTATTTTTTAAAATCTGCCAGCAAAGTTAATCCCGCACCGTGGCAAACTACAAAGGGATTCTACCTTTGTTGCTTGCCTCTTCCAATTCTGAGAGTCTGTTCAAGATAAGTTAAAACTGACAGTTGTCCTTCCTCTTTGTGATAAGAAAATACTACAAGATGCAATTTGTTAATTTTGATACACTAGTTCTGAATTTGACATTATTTTTACGATTAAAAGTAGTTTTCAAAAAGTTTATGAACACTAATTTAATCATGGGCAGGCTACATCCATACCAACATCAATACCAAGAAGACAATGTATTTGCTTAGAGCAGTCGCTGTTCCCCAGGCGAATTTGTCCCATGTTTTTAAAAATATTGTCGTTGTTCTCAGGCCCTCTGTTTCTTTTTACATTCACGGTTGTTGTTTGTTTTGTTTTTTGTTGTTGTTTTTTGTTCGGTTTTATTTTGCTTCGTTTTGCCTTTATGACTATTTTTTGGTTTTGTTTTGTTTTTGTTTGTTTTTGTTTTTTTGTTTTTTATTTCTTGTATTTTGTTTTGTTTAGGGTTATATTTTTTGTTTGCTTGTTTGTTTTTGTTCTCCGGTCCTCCGTTTCTTAATACGTTCAATTTTTTTTTGAAAATTTCATTTTGTTTTGCTCTTTTATTGTTTTCGCTTTATTTTGCTTTGTTTTATTTTTTGTTTTTGTTTTGTATTGCTTTCTTTAGTATTTTAGAGTGTTTTTTGTTTTGTTTGCTTGTAAAAACGAAGGGGGTTGTGTGTGTGTGGTTGTGTGTGTGTGGTTGTTTGTTTGTTGGGTGGTGGTTTGTTGTTTTGGTGGTTGTTTTGGGGGGGGGGGGCAGGGTAAAAAAGGGTGGCATTTTGTGATGATCGTAGTAATTTTATGCGTCTTTTGGGATGTTGTTTTGCATCGATGTTTTAGAAGACATGTGAAGGAAGATAAAACATACTGATACAACGTTGGAGAGAGAGAGAGAGAGAGAGAGAGAGAGAGAGAGAGAGAGAGAGAGAGAGAGAGAGAGAGAGAGAGAGAAAAGAAAGAGAAAGAGGAGTAGAAGAGACAATGACAAAGAGAAAGAAGAAAAAGAGTGAGAGAGGATGAGAGATTAGGGGCACGGGAAAATCAAGGCAGAAATATAAGACAGGAGAATTGATAGACGGAGGGAGCGGGAAATAGTAAATTATCTGGACTAATTTTATTTTGGTCTAATTATATGTATATTATATATGTGGATATGGGGCTCTCGTGGCCTAGAGGTTAAGGAGTTCGCCTCTAATTCAAAGGTCCCGGGTTCGAATCCGGGTAGCGACCGAAAAATTTTATTCACTAAAAATATTGTCTCCTTTCATCTCCAGTTCTCTAGCAATGTTGTGTCGTCTGCTTTCGTCTCCGCCTTCTGCCCCCACCCCGTCACCTCCTTTGTCCCCTCCTCTTGGCTCCTGGCTCTTTCTGCAGCCTTTCTACGGCTACTCCTTAGCTCCTTACTGCTGTCTTTCAGCCACACCCCTGTTCTTCTGATAAGAAAGATCTACACCTACCCTTCTCGGACAAGGGTGAAAAACCTCGGAGGTCCCGTGTGCGAGTTATGAAAGATCGTTAATCCATGGGGGGTCTAAAATCGATAAGAGTAGGCTTCGGTTGCCACCCGGGCAAAATTCAAAATTTCCTACCTACTGAAAATGTTTAATGTGTCCCAGGCGCTCATAATATGACCTTATGCAGTTGCGAGCGCCGCAAAACACTTACAAAATAAGACAAAAACAAACAAAAAAAATGTAAATATCCAGATTTCCTACGACAATCAAGCTTCTCAAGTTACTAAAATTGGGCGGCCATTTTTTGTGTGCCAATTTTACATTTGACACCAGAAGACCCTCACGTCCTTCAATTGCAAATATACGATTTCTACTAAAGATAGATTGGGTATCTTTCCACCAATAACTTCATAAGGCATATTTATATAAGTGAAATTAGTAGACACTTTTAGAGAACTAAATAAAGCATCCTACATACTTCCATGCCAATACTGTTTGATCAATTTGTCTATCTAGGTGGTAGTCCTACTCAACCAACTGTACCAAGTGTTTGACAGCACACTTGACCACTACGACGTGTACAAAGTGGAGACGATTGGAGATGCCTACATGGTGGTCAGTGGCCTACCTAACAGGTGTGTGTGTGTGTGTGTGTGTGTGTGTGATGGGCACCTAAAAATCTCTCTCTCACTCTCTCTCTCTCTCTCTCTCTCTCTCTCTCTCTCTCTCTCTCTCTCTCTCTCTCTCTCTCTCTCTCCCTCGCTCTCTTTTTTATACATAATATTAATATCTATTTATATTATACATACATATATATATATATATATATATATATATATATATATATATATATATATGTGCGTGTGTATGTGTGTGTGTGCGTGTGTGTGTGTATGTATGTGTGTGTGTGTGTGTGTGTGTGTGTGTGTGTGTGTGTGTGTGCGTGTGTGTGTGTGTACAAAGGGAATACCAGCGATATAAATTGTTTGATGAAACCAGCTTTTCACGGCATTTTTTAGTCTTGACTATCGACTGTGCCCTATGTTTTCACCGTGTGGAAAAATCTCCAAACCAACATAGTGCTCGCGAGAAAAATAAGTGTACGCAACGGAAGAACAAATGATGTCAGACGAGTGCAAGGTGTAAACAAGAGATGACAACGCGGAGTCGTCACTAATCTTCCCCTCTGCCTTGACAAGCAATCAGTTGTTGTTTGAAGTTCATGTGATTGCTGCTTTGTTTACACAAACGCATTTCAAAACGGTGGATAGAAACTAGTAACAGACCACCAGAGGTGACAGTAAACCCTTAAAAACCGTTAAAATTTAGGAAGAACAGAGGAAATTACTGAAGTGTTAAGAATGTTGGCACACCTAATCGACTTGCCCTGCAAACAGCTAAAATGGTTTTGAGGTGACAACAGATGACAAAATAAACGCAATTGTCTCGATACCAGTCAGCAATACAGCTTGTTTTGCGTCTCTCAAATCAGGGGGAAAGATCAAGAACAGTTGTCTTCCCCCTATATTGAATATGAAGCAAAACTCCACAATTTTAAACTACTACATGTATACCACTCCTATAGAGTGGAGCTGCTGTTACAGACCCATCTATTTCCCTGCACTTCTGCATGACCACGGCTGTCAATATCTCGCTGATTTTACATAAATTGGAAATGCTCTTCATGCCTTACCTTGTAAAAGTTGTATGACTTTTTTTCTCCTTGTTTTCTTTGCGTTCCTCCGCTAGATATCAGGGAAGTCGACTGCTTTTTTTTCAAGCTGAAGTTCAACTGATTTTACGCTTGCGCCCGTTTGTACTACTCAGTAGCGCCTTCAGGCAGCCACGTTCCAATATCGACGGTATTGTATTATCAGTTTTGGTAAGAATGAATTTTGAACTTTGCCTGATTGGCGACCGCAGCCAACTCTTGTCAATTTTGATGCCACCAAAGGATCTTTAACAAGCGCAATTTGCACACGAGACCTCCAAGATATTTTGCGAAGTGGTCTTACCTAACAACAGGAGTGTGACAGAAATACAGCAGTAAGGAGCCAGGAGTAGCAGCAGAAAGAGCCAGAAAAGCAGTAGAAAGGTTCAGGCATAAAGAAGACAGGAGCCCAGAAGGGAAAAAAGGGGGGGGGGGGGCTGCAGAGAGTCTAGATGAAAGAAGATGACAGAACATGACATGGGGGTGAAAGAAGAGACCTTTTGAGAAAAAAGTGTTTCGCCGCTGTCAGGTTTCGAATCCGGGACATATTGAATGAGACGAGAGCAAGATTGTACCTCAAGACCCCAAGATCTCCCATTGTGTTTGTCTGTTTTAGTAGGTTTTACGGCGCTCTCAACTGCGTAAGGCCATTTGAGCGCCAAGGGGTGGATGTCAACAAAGAAGTCCCTACTGGGAATCAGGCTTACTCTGTTCACCTCTCTAGCTTCAACAGCACAAAGTCTGCTTCGACTATCAAGGCACCCCGGAAATAGAGTATGACAAACATACAAAAGAAGTAGAGAAAAATGGCGATAGTAAGGATTAAGAAAGAAAAAGCAGCAGTTCAGGCACAGTTATGCGAATGAAATTGATGAACCTGCCCATTTATAATTACAATTCTACTGTGCCTAAGAACATGGTTAATGTACCCCCGTTGGGGATGGCCTAAATATACTTTAGTTAGTAGCACCGCCCCGGGGGGTCCCCATTGTGTGACTCATAAGTACAACCTGTTTGGGGCATTTGCAATCTTTGGTCCCATTCTTTTCAAGGTAACGTTTTGAATGAAGAAATAATGTCCCTGGTAGTATTTCCAGTTAATAGAAGGTATTGAGAAGGTGAGTCAGTCTCTGCATTCTCCTTTTACCAAGTACTTCGTGGTTTGTTTCAAGTGAGATCAAGTCAGGTCCAAGTCCTTTGCCTTTAAACATCTCTCGAAAAGCGTTTTCTACTTCTACATCTTTCAGAATTTGGGTTTTAAAGTACGAACGATTTTTCAATAAATTTGCATTTGAATATTGGCTAAAGTATAATTTTATCTGGGTCTTTTTGGTTACATGTGTTTATAAACTTTATTTGTTGGTTGTTGATAACATAAACAAAAATTATTACAAGAGCTTCAACCCATCAAACATCAAAATAATAAGCAAATAAACAGAATAAAAGATTGTAAGGGGAAAATGTCCCTTAGGTTTACTTAATGACATAACTCTAAAAAATATTTCAGCAGTTTAAAGCCTAAATACGTAAGTTTATAATCAGCAAGTGTACACATACGTTACACCGTTTCCCAGGGGACTCATCAATTGCGCACACAAGGATGCTCAGAAGTCTTCAGGGTAAAATTTTCGTTTTTCTCAAAACTTGCAAAGCATGACATCTCTCTATCTCTCTCTCTCTCTCTCTCTCTCTCTCTCTCTCTCTCTCTCTCTCTCTCTGTCTGTCTCCTCTCTCTCTCTCTCTCTCTCTCTCTCTCATTCTCTCTCTCTCTCTCTCTTTTCTACCTGTGCTTGTATGTGTGTGTATGTGTGTGTGTGTGTGTGTGCGTGTGTGTGTTTGTGTGTGTGCGTGTATGTGTGTGTGTTTGTGTGTGTGTGTTTGTGTGTCTTTCCGTCTCCAACAATATCTATTCATCGCTCTATTTTATGGTATAGTCTAATACGTAACACAAATATTCAAATTCAAGATCGTCTAACTGTACAAACATTATATTAATATTATTTTCTAGTTGTGATGTGATTTTACCTACTTTTACTTTTACTTTTTCATCCTCTGTTGCCATGAAGCGTCGAATGGAGATGCAGTTTTCCGTGTAGGTCAGCTCCGCAGCTCTGTCAGTTGTGATATTATGTTTTCTCAGGGTTTCCTTGACACCCTCGATCCATCTTTTGCGTGGCCTTCCTCTTCCTTTATAGCCTGAGTGCGTGTTGTTGTTGGCTCTCGAGGCTGGTTGGCCAGGTGACATACATAACAGGTGGCCAAACCGGGCGAGTTAGGTTTCGCCGCAAAAGACGCAACAGGGGTCTAACTGTCGAAGTCTGAAAATCGTTTCGTCGTAAATCGTATTTGAATGCAAGTTATTTAAACAGAAGATAGAAGATCAATTACTTTGTGAACGCCTCTGAAACACAATTTGTAAACCCGCCTACCGTGTCAATGAGAACTCGAGAGAACTGTTAAATCGACTCAATTTCTCCCCTTCTCTCTTTATTGTTCTTGCTCATTACCACTCTTTCAAATGAAGAATGGCCGCCCAGTTTGGACAAAATTTTAGTCAGTGTGCAGTGTGTTATTGTATTGAAACGACTAGATCTATAATGATGAAAGGAAAGTCAAAGAAGTCCAAGAACGCTGAAAAGACACGGGCGCTGTGTGAACCAGATGAACACCCATCCAAGGTTTTTATAAACGAAGTAGGAAACATTAAATGTTTGCCTGGAGAGTATCAGAATATTCGGCACGCCATTTATAGACAACCACCGAAACTACAAGAAACATTACCAACGACCAGACTTGAACTTGAACAAAAATTGGAGGGGGGTAAGTTCCAAAAAGCACTCGGGATGATTACAGCCGTGCAAAATGACATCGTGCTCATTTCGTTTGCCGAAAACATGAACATTATTGACAACAGAAACGAGTTCTTCGGCGACGGTACCTTCACATACAGCCCTGCATTCTATTGCCAAATTTACACCATTCGCACAGAGTGTCTAGGACATTACATGCCATTGTTCTACTGCCTTCTTCCAACAAAGCCCAGAGAGGTCTACAGAAATATCCTACAAATTATCACAGGGGAAGGCAAGAAGCATGATAATATGGAGTTCAATCCAAGTTCGATCCACCTTGACTTTTATTGGCGACTCATCAATCTTTTAGAGACATATTCCCCACTATACAAGTCAAAGCCATTTTATTCTCTGCCTTTCTATGTAATGCAGCCATCACTCCATGACTTCTTCATTTCTCTGCCTGTCTTGTCTTGTGATGTTAAGGGTTTGGCGGATACCTTTAATTTTGCATGCTGTGATTTTACTTTCATGGGTTTTACTTACTTAATGTCCAGGTCTGGCACTGGTAGCATACTGTTGGTATGAATTTTGAGGTGATAAGCTGTCTCTTTGTATCCATGGAAATGTTTGGATGAAATAGGAGGGGTGCAAGCTGATAGGTGACAGCGTTGGCTTTTTGGGTTCGCATTTTTATTTCTCTGTCTATGGACCCGTTTTCAGAAAAAGTGCTGCTAAGATATTTAAACTCTTTCACCTGTTTCAGTTGTTTATTATTGGCAAGGATGTTTGAGGGACTACAGTTTCGGTTCACTTTCATAAGCTCCCTTTTGTGTGTGTGCATATTTTCATGTTAAATTTTTCGCAGCTGTTGTTTAGTCGGTAGTATGATTTTGAAGGGTTTGTTGGTTTGGGTGAATACGACATTGGTCGTCTGCGAATAGAAGTTCATATAAGCATTCTGGGCTTTGGTTTGCGTCTTGCGTTATTGTGTCCATATGATTATATTATTATAAACAGGAAGGGGGATAGAACGCATCCCTGTCGTACTCCATACTTTACTTTGAATCAGTTTGTATTGCCTTCCTTCAATCTTACTGAGCTTTTGCTGTTGGTGATAGAGCTGTAACATTATCTAACATTTGTCCTCTGACGCCATACTTTTCGAGTGTCTTCCAGGGTTTTGCATGGTTTGCTCTGTCAAAAGACAGGTCCAAGTCCTTTGCCTTTAAACATCTCTGGATTTTTTGTTGTGTTCGATTTTTTTCTCGCATATCTTTTTAATGCGGATACAGCATCCGTGCATCTTCTTCCCTTTCGGAATCCAATCTGAGCTTTGCTCAGATTTCTCTCTACAATAGGTCTTATCCGCTGTTCTAGTGGCGTCGGTGGCCTAGTGGTTAGGCTCTCGGACTCGCAACCGTAAGGTCGTGGGTTCGAATTCCGTCAAGGGCCCAACGTTGTGTCCTTGGGAAAGGCACTTTGCACGAATTTTCCTCATTTCACCCAGGTGGGAATGGGTACCCGGCTATAGACAGCGAAAGATCTTGTCAGTTTGTTAGTGTTTGAGCGCTTAATCGGCTGCTCGCACTGTATGCTTCTGGGAAGCTGAGAATGTTTCAGAGTGTTCTATGGTCTGCTGGGGTAATAATATAGTGTAAAGCGCACAGAGCCTGCTGCTGAGCGGGGATATGCGCTATACAAATGCTATCTATTATTATTATTATTATTACACGGATCGTTCAAAAGGTTTTGCCTCCAAGTTCATAATTTCTTTATTACTGATGTTACATCCAAAACTTATGTCCCAAAATGAAAACTTAGTATGTCTGCTACATGACAGTACCTTTGCTTTTCAACATAGTCGCCTTCTTTGTCGATGCAGATCTGCCAACGTCGAATAAGTTGTCGCATGCCGTCGGCATTCATGTGGTTTTCTTCTGAACCAGCGACGCACATCAGCTTGAACTTCATCGTCATCGGCATAACGTTTTCCTTTGAGGCACTCCTTCAACTTAAGAAAAAGATAAAAGTCAGATGGAGCAAGGTCTGGACTGTATGATGGGTGCGGTAATGTCCCTTGAAATCTGAGACTTTTCATTGTATCTTGCGTTTGTCGAATCGTGTGTGGAAGGGCATTGTCGTGGCGCAAAATTGCATTTTTTTTCCACACTGAACTCGTGACAGCCGTTCTCTAAGTTTTCTCAGAGTCTCAATATATCGTTCAGAGTTTATAGTGGAACCCTGTTCCAAAAATTCCTTTTGAATCAGACCATTGCAGTCCCAAAACACTGTCATAAGCACTTCCGCTTTTTTTTGCAGATGAAACAACTTTGAACTTCTTGGGGCTAGGTGAGCCAGTGTGCCTGTATTCTCTCGATTGTCTTTTGTTCTCTGGGTCATAATGGTGTACCCAAGACTCGTCTCCTGTGACTATACGGCGCAAGAAAGCTTCACCTTCATCGGTATAACGAGCCAGGAGTTCATCACTTAATTGACTTCGGTTCAATTTCAGCTCGGGTGTCAACATGTCATTGTGGGGAACTCACCGTGCACACATCATGGATAATACACTGAGCACTCCCTACAGAAATCCCTAGCATTTCACTGACATCTCTTACTTTAATCTGTCGGTTTGCTTGGACGAGCTCATCCACTCTCTCCAGGTGTTGAACATCACTGGCAGAGTCGGGACGACCACAATGAGCTTGGTCATGCAAATCTGTCTCTGCTGGACTGGTTTCAGCGAACTCCTTTGCCCATCTTCGAACAGTACTTACATCTACATAATATGCTTTACCATAGACAAGCTTCATTCGCCTATGAATATCTATGGGTGCAGCTCCCTCTGCTGCGAGGAACTCAACAACATATCTTTTCTTTAAGCGCACATTCACATGTTTGCTGGACGTCATTTTATCGACGACAATGTACCCTAGCTTCCATGATGTGAACAGCAATAGCATAAAGGTGTGACATCATAGCATAATTCTGTTTTTAGGGCTTGAGAGTACACATATTGAAAGTCAATTGCATACAAATTTCTTGAAGATATCTTGCACAGTTTAAAAGTTATTGGAGAGGAGGCAAGACTTTTTGAACTACCCTCGTAGTATCTTTGCGTATATTTTCCCTACGTGGCTTGATAATGAGATGCCTCTGTACATAGTGCAGTCCCGTTTGTAGCCTTTTTTTTCCATTTTGGAACCACTATGGCTTTCTGTCAGTCTTTTAGGCATTTCCTTTGCTCTCAGGCTTTATTGAAAATTCGCCTTAGCCGCAGTACGCCGGTGTTTCCACAAGCTCTTGTGGCTTCCACTGTGATGTCATCTGGTCCTGGGACTTTGTTCTTGGAACTTGGGGCTTTTTTTAGAGCCTTTTCGATTTAATTGGGAAGTATGGGTGGTTCTGTATGTTCTTTATAATGCATGTCGGGATGCATGGGTCTTGCCTTACTCGCATGTTGCTCCCTCTTTTATAAAACTCTCTAGGGTTTGTTTTTGTTTTAGTAGAGGTTTTACGGCGCTCGCAACGGCATAAGGTCATATGAGCGCCAGAAGATTAGATGTGTTACAAGAGTAACAAACATAAAAAAGAAGGAGGGGAGATAAGGATCTACGTTTGAAAAGAAAGAAGAAGCAAATCACACCAGAGCACCCGTCAACCACCCACTCTCTAGGGTTTTCCTTGCAGACTTTGGCCAGTTTCTCGCCACATATTTCCCATGCATTTTCTTTAGCAGTTTGATGATTCTTTTGGTCTCTCTTCTCGCTTTCCTACATTCTATATAGTCCTCTTCGATCTTTGACTTATGCCATTTCTTAAATATCTTCTTTTTCATTTTAATTGCTTCTTTGGTTTCAACAATCCACCTGCATGTTGCTCTGCCTTTGTTTCCGCCTATTCTATTGGTGTCACAACTGTTTTTCAGTATTTCTGACAAGGATTTTTTGAATGTTTACCTTTCGTCTTCTACGTCTTTGGTCTCAGATGACAGCTTATGTACTCCTTGATTATGTCATCATCGATAGCCTTCTTGATTTCTGGTTCTTCCAGTTTTCTTAGGTTGGTTAAGGTTTTTCCCGTTTTTTTGTTTTTTATAATTTTTTTTGTTGGTTGTGAGAGTAAGTATCATAAGACTGTGGTCCGTGTCGATGATGTAGTTTGGAACAGCCATCGAATCTTTGGCTTTATATCTTTGTTTCCTGCGCGTCGGGATGAAATCAATTTGTGTTCAGGTCATTCCATCTGTACCAGGTCTTGATTTGGCTTCTTCTGTGTTGGAACAATGTGCTCTAATCATCGTGTCGTGCTCAGCGCATAGGTTTAGTATCATTTCTTCATTGCAGTTGCAGGCTGTATTTTCATCACTGTGGGGTCTTCTTCTTCTTCTTCTTCTTCTTCTTCTTCTTTTTCTTCTTCTTCTTCTTCTTCTTCTTCTTCTTCTTCTTCT